TTATAGGCAGAATGAAAGTTATACCTTTCAGCTCCAAAAGAGTCATTAAATAAATTCAGAATGGAAAGGTGGATGTTGGTACTTAAAATGAAACCAAAGCAGACCTCAGTGTTCAATGGGCCACAAGCACAGCACTTGGCTGTAGCAACCCAGAAAGCTCATGTGATCTAAGGCAACATTAATTAGAGGGATAGCGTCCAGAACAAGGGAGCGGTAGGAGCCCTTTTATTTCACCACATCAGGTTGATTGTGTTCTATTTTCGACAGTCGTGTTTTAAGGAGGAACACTGGCAAGTTAGCAAGTATGTCCACCGGAGAATGCCCAGGCTGGAGAGGGAGCTTAAAATCATGTCCGATGAGAAAACAGTTAAAAGAAGTGGGGATATTTAACCTGGGGATGGGAATATCCAGAGAGATATAATAGTAGTTTAGAGGAGATATGTTAAACTCATAGCCAGCATGTGACTGGCAAAACTGCCCACTGGGCCCAGTGATTAAAATGAAATAGGGGAAATTTTTAACAACAACAACAACAAACAAACAAACAAACAAATAAGTAAATAAATAAATGAACAAATAAATGAACAAATAAATATAGTACAATATAGATAATGTTAATTTGTGGTTTTCTAAGTCAATGTGTGGTCTGGTCTCTGTTTGCATTTGACACCTCCATTCTAGAGCATTTGAAACACTGTCATAAGGTACAGGAATTAGACTTGTTCTGTTTGATCTGGGAGGACAGAAGTCTTCCAGCAGGTGAAAAAATATGAAAGAATGTGTTATTATGCAGTCATTTCAGCATTGTCTGACTCTTTGTGACCCCTTCTGGGATTTTCTTGGCAAAGATACTGGAGTAGTTTGCCATTTCCTTCTCCAGTTCATTTTACAGATGAGGAAACTGAGTCAAATAGGGTTACATGACTTGCCTAGAACTACACAGCTAGTAATTGTCCGAGGCCAGATTTGAACTCATGAAGATGAGTCTTCTTGACTTCAGGCCCGGCACTCTATTCTCTGTGCCACCTCGCTGAGTATTTTGGCTTAATATAAAGAATGACCCTAATAGTAACTGACCCAATACAGCTCAATATGCAATTATTAAGCATCTACTGTGTGTGAGATGCCATGCATATAATGACAGAAACAAAACAGTATCAACCCTCAAGCAGCTTATGTTCTACTGGAAGAATACAACTTGTATACAAATAAATATAGTATGAGGAAAGTTGAAGCAAGAGACAGGATTAACTCCTGTGGATGGATTACATCAGGAAACAGCAAACTTATAGCCTGTAGGTCAAATCCAGCCAGCCACTTGTTTTTGTTTGGGCCTCATCTAAGAATAGTTTTTATTTTTTAAAAATAAATTTTAAAATAAAAGCAGGCCATACAAAAATAGGCAGTGGGCAGAGGGCCAAATCTGGCCCAAAGGTGACCCCTGGGCTACATAAGGTGTTAACCAGACATTACTTAAGGGAAGAGACATCTATTCAGTTCCAGTAGGTGGTGAGCAGAACAAATGCTTTAAGTATTTCATTATTTTTTTTTAATAGTTCAAAGACCCTTGGTTTCGCTGGGGTAGGAATTCCACCCCTCCCTGCCTCCCCACACCCCGCCCCAATGCAACATCTTTGCCTTAGTACATGACCTCTGTCAGTTCCTGTAACTGAAAAATTCATTATCTGAGGCCAGCCTGCACTGAACCTCCATGCACTTAGACGGATCTTCCCATAGACTTGAGAGTCATGACTGACCCTGGACTCAGAGTCCGTCCAACCTGAGAGGACCTGTTAAGGCCTCTGCCCCTGCTGGCAAAGTCTTGGAGAGCCCAAGGCCATGCCTGGGCTCTGCTGTTGCTTTCTCCAAGAAAAACTGATTCTGTCTCATGAACTGCTGAGGTCTTTAGGAGGCATAGAAGAGTGGTGGAAGGGGCACTGAGCTGGAATTCAGGAAGACTGGGAGCTAGTTATAGCTCTGCTATAAACCAGCTGGATGTCCTTTAGTAAATCCCTCGATTTCTCTGTGCATATAACACGAGCATAAACATTCCTCCCCAAGCGACATCACAGTTTATGGTGAATAGATGAGAGGATGCATATGAAAGCATTTTGGGGAAAAGCATGAGGTGCTGTCAGATCACAGTATTACCTTGCTGCCTACATACCTGGATCTGCATCAGAAATATCTGTCCTCTTTAAAGGGCCCACCACCAGTAGTTCCTTAAAATGGGGAGACGCTGCCTGAGTTTTCAGCTCTCCAATCCTGAGTTGACCTTCATTATGGGTATTGCTTCTGCGTCTGCCTCAGAGGCCACAGTCAGCAAAAACTCCTGCTCCCTGATAAAAGGCCTGAGCCAAACAAAGACATCACAAAAGTCCCTCTGCCTGCAGCAGTTTGATTGGACTGCCCAGGCTAGGGAAAGTGCTTCTCTTGGGAAAGCAGTTAAAGATCTTTCCATTTATTGGTTTGCTTAACTGATGGCTTCCAGTGACTCAGGAATAAGTGTTGTTATGCAAACTTCCAAGGTGACGGTCCCCAACAAACAAACATGCAAGTGAGGCAGCATGCCATAGTGGAAAGGACCCCAGATTTGGAGACGTAGGATCAGAAAACACTGGGACCAGTAAGGAACTTTGCCTTATCCAAGGCACAAGTGGCAAAACCAGGGCTTTTTCCACTCTCAAAATGCTCTTGACTTCTGACCTAATTTTCCTAATCTGTAAAATAAAAGAATTGGGCTAGAAGGGGTCTAAGATTCCTTCCAGCTGGTGTTTTAGTAGATCTCTAAACTGATGGCCCCTAAGGGATCGCCAGTTGAAGAGGAGCTAGGAAACCTAGATTAGAGTTCAAGCTATGAAACCAACTACCTTCATGATCTTGGACAGGCTGCTTTCCTTCAGAAGAAATGTAGCAATAGCTTGCTTTCCTATAGGACTTTATAAAGAAATTGCTTTCCACCCAGCAACCCTAAGGGTATGCCACACGTGGTCTCTTATAGTTCTAACACAGTATTAGTATATGAATCTGTGCTATGACTCCTTCTCCACTTGGAAAGTTGAGTGCAGGTAATAGTATTGGGCCTTCTCCTCCCACTTGCTTTGGGACTTCATTGTCTGTACCTCCTAACCCATGACCAGTAATATCTAAACTGATGAAGTGAAATGAAATGAAATGAAATGAAACTGATGAAATGAAAATCAGCCCCATCCCACCTCCATCTCCATAGACCCACAAGATGAAGGATCCTGCCCAAGAAACTGGAATCACAGAGAGAAAACAGCAAGTTCAGGTTACAGGTTATGTCCATTGATTGTCTTTTTCTAATAAAATAACAGAAGGAGAATGAATGATTTTTAAAATCAGGAGTGTTTTACAAACAGATCACACAGACCATTTTAATTTTTTTGGAAGCAATCAGGGTCACATAGCTAGTAAGTGTCGGAGGCCAGATTTGAACTCAGGTCCTCCTGATTCCAGGGCTGGTGTTTTATCCACTGAACTATCCAGCGTCATTTTAGCACCAACACAGACCATTTTAGTACATTACTGATGCACTACCACAGGGGTTAGGACTAGAAGACAACGTCCAAGCCTCTGTGATGAAATCCTGTCCCAGACTGGGAAGAGAACTTGCCCAGGGTTGCACAGATAGTAAAGAACAGTGAGGATTTTTGAATTCTGACTTCAAACCCAGCATTTTTCTGATTTAGACTGTGCTGCTGCTATGTTTGTTTTCTGAAACAAAGTAGGAGGCATTTAAAAGCCAAGGTAAAGGAGTGGATTTGCGAAAAAGCTATAAAATCTATAGAATGGCTTCGATTCAACATACATACATGTTAACCACTTTCTTTGGACAAAAGTGAACTCGCTCTTGCCCTTAGGAGCTTACTTGCCACTGGAGTGATATCCTATGTACATGGATAAAAAAATAAAGAGTATACACAGAATAATTTCAAGAGGGATAAATGAAAAGTATTAACTTAGGTCTTACTATGTGCCAGGCACTGGGCTAAAGCACTAGGGATACCAGTATAAAAACAAGGCAGTCCCTACTTTCAGGAAACTTACATTCTAATGGGTAAGACAACAGATATAGGAGAGTGGTGGCCAGGGGGTGGGTGAAGTTGAAGGGAATGGTGAGTGGAGTCTTTGGGCAGTCCCTTGACATACCTTTTACAGAGGCAATGGCAGTTGTCACTTGTCCTTCATTCTTGAAGAAGACCAGTGACATCTGAGGTGGTATTTTAGTAATAGTTCTTATAGCAAGGTTGGGAGAAAGGGGGGTGGGGAGAATGGGGTGACCTAAAGCATAGTCTGAAATAGGCTAAATATAATGGAGTATGTGAGTTTTAACTAGTCATAACAGTTCAGCCCTGGGTCTGGTGTTCCAAAATAGAGTAGATGAAGTCTCCCAGGACATGGTCTGGAGGGTATAGTGACAAGGAAGATGGCTGTGATGGACACCTGGAAGCACAGGCTGGTAATCCCTGGTCTATCCCAGTGGTGGGCTTCATGAGTTTGTGTTCACTGATTCCCTAAAAAGGAAGAAATCTGTAATAACTGGGGGGGTGGGGGAGGAATGTGGTGAGATCACAGAAAAGCTCTTGAAAGAAGCTAAGTAGTCTAAGAATCAAAGGTGAGAATGGAGTATATTCCAGACATGGGATATAGCCTGCATGCACAGGCAACTCTTATAAATATGGCTTTTAGGAATAGGATTGTCTTTAAAATGATCTTCTATATCAAAATGTCAAAATGTCATTGTGCATTCCCCTCTCTTTTATTTCCCTTTTTGCTTTTAAGTTTATATTATCAGTGTCCCAGTTCATCCTCTGAGGCCCTTGCAAAGAGGCTCAGTGGGGGATGGACCTTCCCTTTATGTACACTGATAGAGTATCAGGAAGAAATGCTTTTGTTGATGTTGCTTTGGAACCAAATTTATTTTCCTCATGTAAATGACCTGTTGTGATTGGATATTGGGGGGGAATGTTTTTCAGGTGGAAAACATCCTGCTGCATGACCGAGGTCATTATGTCCTGTGTGACTTTGGAAGTGCCACCAACAGATTCCAGAACCCACAAGCTGAGGGAGTCAACGCGGTAGAGGATGAGATTAAGAAGTAAGCCTCCTCCTTCCTCAGGGCTTGGCTCTACTCCCGCATCCCTGACTTCTCCTTGAGCAGAGGAAGGCGGGAGACTGGGTTGGGAAGAGAATGGTTGAGTGTGTGTGTGTGTGTGTGTGTGTGTGTGTGTATATATACATACATATATATATAATATGAATTGGTTGAATCTCTAAATCCTATAACTGAGATTTAAAGGAAAATGCAAGAAAATGCAGTTATTTTCTAAAGAATTAATTGGTTGTACTAAAGAACATTGAATTTGAAATTGGAGATCTAGGTTTCAATCCAAAGAGAAGAAAAAAAAAGAATAGATCAGTTTCAATGGAAGAGGCACTTCTAAGAGTTATGGGTATTCTAAACCCTTGCTTGGAGGCCTCTTGGAGGAAAGAGAGAAATACAGAGGAGACTGACTTCTTTTTTAGGGTCAGATTAACACCTGTATTTGGAGTCAGAGGACCAAGGTTCTAATCTTGGTGCCCCCATTACCTATGTGACCTTAGGAAAATTATTCCCCTTCACTGGTTCTCAGTTTCCTAATCTTAAAATGAGGGATTGGACTATATAATTGCTAAAGTCCCTTCCAGTTGTGAATTTTGTGGTCTAGTTTATGAATTATTCCCCATTACGTTAGTGGAGAAATCGAATAAACTTTAAATTATTTTTTATGTTTTTTAAAATAGTCTGTCTTTGGCTTAAAGCCTAATGGTACAAATAGAATAAAATCACTTATCAGAGTATTTAAATTAGATAATAATATAGGAAATTAGAAAAGGAATTTTGAATGGTTTTGTTTGTTTAGTTTTGTTTTTAATGCCTACTCTATGCCTAGCTCTACAATAAAATTTTTTGGGAGATACAAAAGAAGTATGAAAGAAGTGCCTCCTGATCACCTCAGAAATCATATATAAATGATATGTACATATTACATATATATATAGATAGATAGATAGGTAGATAGATAGATAGATAGATAGATAGATAGATAGATAGATAGATAGATAGATAGTAAATACAATAGTGTATAATCAAGTGCTAAAGTTATAGGGAGAAAAGCACTGAATTTGGACTTACAGAAACTTGGGTTTTAACCCAGATTTTAGTGCTAGGTGACTTTGGGCAAAACATTTTATTTCTCTGGGTTTAATTTTCCTCATCTGTGAAATGGGGATAATGATACTTGTACTGGCTGCCTCACAGGGTTTATTATGAGAAAATATTTTTTAGTTTAATTTAATTTTTTTATTAAATTTTTTAAAAAATACGCTTAATAGTATTTTATTTTTTCCAGTTATATGTGAAGATAGTTTTCAACATTCACTTTTATAAGATTTTGAGTTCCAAATTTTTTTCTCCCCCCTCACCAAGGTGGTAAACAATCTGATATAGGCTATACATGTACAATCCTATTCAACATATTTTCCACATTAGTCATGTTGTGAAAGAAGAATCAGAACAAAAAGGAAAAACCACGATAAAGGGGAAAAAAAGAAAATAGTATGCTTTGATCTGCATTCTGATTCCAGAGCTTTTTCTCTGGATGTGAATAGCATTTTATGAGGAAACACTTTGCATGTACTATAAAACACCATAGAAATAGATGCTGTTGGGGCAGCTAGGTAGCACAGTGGATAGAGCACCAGCCTTGAAGTCAGGAAGACCTGAGTTCAAATCCGGCCTCAGACCAAACACTTGACACTTACTAGCTGTATGACCCTGGGCAAGTCACTTAACCCCAATTGCCTAAAAAAGAAAGAAAGAAAGAAAAGAAAAGAAAAAGAAATAGGCGCTGTTATTATTAATTATGTGACGGCCATCATAACTGAACTCAGTGTTCAATAAGGTCTTATGACTATAAGAGCTCCTTAAAAAGAAATATCTGTGTGGGCTAGAATTGTTAGAGAAGTGTGGAGACTTGACTTAGGCCTTGCAGGATAAAAGGGGTTGGTGGAAAAAAAGAGAGAGGTGACAGGTCTTGTACTAACAAAATTCATTCTGGGTTCTTCCTCTACCTCGAGAGGTTGGTTTGAGAAGGAAGGCTCAGTTTATATTTTGCCCGAAAAAGCCCACAGCTTCGCGATTGTGATGATAGTAATAGCTCACATTGTTAAAACATTTGAAGATTTACAAAACACTTCCTCTTAATACCCCCTGTATGGTAGGCAGCACAAATATTATTATACCTCAATTTTATTAGATAGAAGAACCGAGGCCTAGAGAAAGTGAAGCCATTTACCCAAGGTCACATAACTAGCAAGTATCGTAGTTAAGATTCAAACACCAGTTTCTCCCGACTCCAATTTTATCTGGTGCTTTTTCTACCTAAACCCACTGTGGACAAGCTGATAGAACTATGAAATGACCACAGTTCTATACTATCACTCCCTTCTGCATAGCACATATATTCATGTCTGTCTGAGGTAGGGACTGTTGCAGTCTATATGTTGTAAAATACACAAATATTTTTGTTGTTACAGAACTGCCAGGCAGATGAAGTGGGGCATGGTGGACATCTTTAATAAAATGATTCTTCTGATTTTAGGTACACAACGCTTTCCTACAGAGCTCCAGAAATGGTCAACCTGTATAGTGGCAAAATTATCACCACAAAGGCCGACATTTGGGTACGAGTTGAATAATCTGCAGTTCTGACTTAATGGGCATCATGGTACTTGGCCTTGGAGTCAAGACACCTGGATTTAGATCTAGGCTCACTTCATCTTAGTTTCCTCATCTGTAAAATGGGGATAATTTATCTCCTGGGGTTGGGGGTAGAATGAGGAAAGAGCTTTGGAAGCCTAAATGTATCAGAGAATTGTGAATTATTATTCTAATCTGTAGCGGCTCACCTGGTAGTGTCCTAGTTTGTATACCTGCAGACCTGTGACTAGGATAGAGTGCCTGAGGCTTTGCCCTATGGTGCTGAAATTTCGGGGGGCACTGACAGTATTTGAACTCCATCTGAAGTATAAAAATACCTAGTTAGCAAGAATGATTAGTTAGAATAGGAAGGTACTACATGGTATGCCTCTTTTTGGATTTAGCTTTGTCCCAGCTGAGCTCCTACATACCCTTTGCCCTGACTGCACTTAATGGGCACCACATTGCTAGTTATGGCTCTGTGTATCCGCAGATAGTCATATGGCATAGTAGAATGCATCCTGGATTTGGAGTCAGAGGATCTGAGTTAGTCCTGTTTGTGCTGCTCAGTTCATGCAAGACCTTGGGCAAATCATTTCCTATCTGTGTAGCTCAGCTTTTTTACCTCTAAAATCAGGGAGCTTAGACTACATGATCTTTAGGGTCCCATGCAGCTCCAACAGCACCAACCACCCCCTTAGACTATTTGTAGGGGGATTATAGAAAGAAGCCCATGCTCAGTAGTTACAGAGTGAAAACAATCCTTTTTCCCTCTGTCTTTTAGGCCCTTGGTTGTTTGTTGTATAAATTATGCTACTTCACATTACCATTTGGGGAGAGTCAGGTAGCCATTTGCGACGGAAACTTCACGATTCCTGATAACTCACGGTATTCCCAAGACATGCATTGCCTCATCCGTAAGTATTTCCATTTCCCAGATTCCTCTTGGTTTGTAATCTTTTCTCTCCAGGACTGAATGATACCAGCAGGAGAGGAGAGATTGCCCAAGGCAGGGAGAAAGAGAGCAAAAGGGAAGGCAGGAATAGGGAAATGGATCGATAGGAACAGAGATGACGAAATATCTTTGAAGCAAGAACCTCCAGTTGCTCAAACAGATCGCCTTTGGCTAAATTTCCAAAGTATACTTCATACCTACATGAATCACTTGAGCAGAAGTGTTGAATGTACAAGACTTGCATACCATTAGTTAAAGTCTTTGAAAAAATCCTGGAGCAGTAAAATTCTGACTAGTGGTATATCAAGGGGTAAGGCATTGGTCCTTTGCAAAATTAGGAGCTGCTCCAATGAAGAGGTTAGCAGTGCAATGTTTTACTTGAATATTTGCCTCCAGCAGTAGCATCTCACTCCAAAGAATTCATTTTAATACAACAAACATTTCTTAGGTGCCTGCTGTATGCAAAACACTGTGCTAAATGATGAAAGCATTTTTCCTACATGCTGAAGATGGAGGCCCAGAATCAAGCATTACTATCTTTTGGGCTAATCATTATGATTTGTTCTGGGATCATTGTAACTATAGAAATCTGTCAACTGGTGGCCAGGCCCCTGGTGATGAACTGTTTCATACCTACCTGTCCCTCAGATGACAGAAATATAGAGTCTCCCATAGGCAAAGCTTTTCTAGCTTGGAATACTTGTCAAATCTTGTCCTTTACTAGTGTGGCATTTAAGAATCCATTTTCATGATAAGATATTACAGGAGGACACTGTTTAACATTTCCTTTTGGCTTTTCAAGCTTTCCAGTTACCCTATTGCATCATATATGATGGTGGGGTGATCATAAGCCCTTCTGATAAAAAAAAATAGATGGAAACAGAAGTACTTGGCTCTTCCACTCTGTCGGCAAGGGTCTTTTGAAATAGAATTGTTAACCAATCCCAGGCCGTGTAGCTTGTCACCCCTTTATCCTATCTTGCTGATTCCAAGGCTGTGGTAGCAGTAATGGCCTTTCCTCTTGGTTGCATGGAATTGGTTGGATGGATTTCCCGTTGATGGAAGGCCAAAAATTTGGCCATGGCTAACTTTGTTACAGATTGCTCTACTTTTTCTTTTAACCTTGATTGCAAGTGAACAGAAATAAACACAGAAATATTGTGAAATTCATATGGAGTAGGTAGACTGAGGAGAATTGTAATTTGCCTCATCATAGCTTCAGAGTTAGGACCTCAAGATTTGCTTTTATGGTAGGGGACTGTATTAGTCATCAAAGTGTTTATTTGAATGTATCATTCTGACAAGCCTGAGCTCATGTCGATCAAATGATGATGTTAGTGCATCCTGGAACAAAAGGTCTGAGTCATTTTGCACACATAAAGAATGTACCTTATTCATCAAGCCCATTCTTAAATCATTGAACTTGAGTGCTACTATGCTGTGTGCATTTAGATAGAAGTACCTAATACCTTAAAGTTCAGATCTGTAATTCTAGGTGACTCTTGTTTCTGAACTTTTAATGGACTAATAGAACCAAATTCTTAAATATAGTATAATCAGATGTCTTTTTTTTTCTTTATATTGTATTATGAACTTCAGAACTGAATTATTCTCACCTGGTGAACAGCCTGATAAAGAAGGGCAAACCAGCATTTACAGCAAGAAGTTGGGATTTGGGAGCCATGGAATCATAAAATTGCAGAGTTGTTAAGTGACAGCTCAAGTTATCTCGTCAGGTGGTGTTTTTATTCAAATAGAAACAGAGGCCGCCATACTATACATAAGGATCCCTAAGGGCTGCATATCGATGAAGGAAATCACACATTTACTCTTTCTTTTTTATTAATACATTAACACATTAAAACTGGACAGGAGTTAGATTTTAATCTAGTTCAGGCCATGCTTGAAAGTGTTGTAGGCTACATATGGCCCCTGTGTTTCTAGTCCAAACTCTCCCCACAGCAAGGATGCTACCTATAACATCCCTGAAAATGGTTATTTAAGCTTCCATTTAAAAAACCTCCAGTCATGAGGAATGCATTAGCAACCCTAGGCTGCCTATGCCATTTTTTGAGAACTTTAACTCTTAGCAAGTTTTTCCTTATATTGAACTGAAATCTGTCCCCCTAAAACTTCCATCTCTTCATCTTAGTTCTTCCCTTTGGGGACAAACAAAAACAAGTCTAAATCCCTCCCCAAGTATGGAAGACAGCTATCATGTCCCTCCTTCAATTGTTTCTTCTCCAGGCTAAATATCTTTAGTTCCTTTGGCATGGCATGGTTTCAAGTCCCCTCACCATCTGGTTACCCTCCTGCCTATACTCGGATTGGAAAAATCAACTTCACAAATACTAGATGGAGGAGGCATGGCTAGAGACAACAGTTTCTATGTGAAAAATGTGGGGGTTTTAGTGGACTGTGAGCTTGATATAAGTCATTGGTATGGCACAGAGGCAAAAAGGCTAATGCTGTCAGAGCCTACATTAACAAATATAATGTCCAGAAGGAAAGAAGTAATAGTGTCTCTTTACTCTGCCTCGTTGGGCCATATATGGATTACTATGTTCAATTCTTGACACTGTATTTTAGGATATATATAGACAAGCTGGACCATTTCCAAAAGAGGATAGCCAAAATGGGGAGATTGCTGAACAAGAAGACAAAGGATTATTGGTTAAAGGAACTGGGCATAGAGAAGACTTAGTTGTCATTTAACAAAGGGCTGTCTGATGGAAGAGGGGGATTTGATTTGCTCTGTTTGTCCCCAGAAGGAAGAGCTAAGAGCTGTGGGTAGGAGTTGGCTAGTTCACCTAATTCTGAGGTTTTCCGTCAGGTCCTAGATGACCATTCTGGGGGTGAAGATGTTTTAGAAAGAATTCTTGTTCAGCTGGGGGTTAAATTAGAGAGCTGCTGAGTTCCCTTCAAACTCTTCAATTCCATCAATCTCTTGACATGCTCATCACTGACCCATCTAAGATGTAGTTCCAAGAACTAGACAGAATGCTACAAAAGTGGCTTAACGAGGGCAGAGTATGACAGGATGGTCACTTTGCTTACTCTAGCAATTTTAATTATTGCAGTGAGCTTGTGGACCATTAAAATCTCCAATTTTTTTTTTCACAGTCACTGCTTTCCAGCTTATATCTTCCTTGTTCTATGTTTGTGCAGTTCTTTTTTGGACCCAGGTATAGGATTTTTTACATTTAATTTTATTAACTTCATCTTACCAGTTTTAGTTCACTGTTCAGTAAGTCTGGTAAGTATTTTCAGTGATCTCATTTTGTGACACATCGTATTACCCAGCAGTCACAACTTTGTGTCATCCACAGATTTGATAAGTAAGCCATATCATATATATGTGCACATATATGTAAGTACACACACTACCTTTATGTTATTGATAAACAAAATGAACCCAATATCTAGAATTTGCTTATGTCTTTGACAGTTAAAGGGTTTCTTAGGGTTACATCCTACTTTTAAACATCTATCTGCTTTAAAATCACACCAAACCTTGGTATTTAAGATGTTAACCCAGGTAAACTAATAATGCAAAAGCATTATTACAGTTCTGAGCAGTGTTAAAATATCTGGAAAGCCATTTGAGAAACTGTCAATGGATTTTTCAATAGAGTTTTAAATTTAAGTTTAGCACAGGCCTTTTTTATTAGAAAATAAAATTAAATTTTTCAGAAAAAAAAATTAACCCAAACCAGAGAAGGTTTTGTACTAGACTGTCAATTGCATTCTTTGGGTTTGGTCTTTGAACCAGTTCTTAGTCTACCTAATTTGACTGTCATCAGTTCATCTTTCCATTTTTTTCCATTGTTGATAATTGGCTTTGTTTCTCATTCTTTTCATGCTTATCCAAATGTTCTTCAACATATATATCCTCTCCCTTGCCTTGATTGGGTGAATTTCCAAACAGATGAACATCTTTTCCAAGTATAATGCTATCCTGTCTTCTTCTATCTCATATGGTCCCTTTGAATTTGATGCACCCATCCCTTGCCATGTGTGAGTCATGAACTGCATCCCATTAGGTTTCAGTAATGCCCTGAGACATAGTTACATCCTCAAGTTAGTGCCTCTAGCTCATTTTTAAAAGTTATTTATTCTCAAATTAAAGACATAAGTCTTTAAACTGGTTTCTTATCCAAGATCCAACCCAAGATCTCTGACTGTCAGCAGGTCCTTTGAATGTTCTTCTATCACCCTGGAATTTCAGAATTCAAAAGATCTATGATTTTGTTGGTTTGGCTATTTGTTGTCTTATCCCCTTTGTGCGTTAGGTATATGTTCTTTTAGATATACTTGGATCATGTTCTGAGCTACTTATTGATGACCTTTTCTAAGCATGTTGCTTTTCACATATTAGATGCTTAATGCGTTTTATGATTTGAATTAGACTAGTCCTTGGATCCAGCTTGTCACTGGATACTCATTAGCCTTCTACCCTTGGGGTAGGACATGAGCTTGTATTGCCCAGGCATGGCCCAGAGAACCCAGAGTCCTCTCAAAGCATTGGAGAAAGCCTTTCATGAAGGATCTCAAACTCAGCATATCCTAAAGCTTATTATCTTATTGCCTGTGATAAAGGTCCCCCATTAACGTTCATGTTTCTGTCAGTGGCACCACATTAAACTCCTAGAGTTGGTAAATCATCTGGCATTTGAGAAGCCAAGAATGTGGGTCAAATAGTCTAGTGCCAGCCACCAAAAGGTCCTCACTTTCATAGGTCACTGACCTTCTAGAACTTGTCTCAGACTTGCTGATCTCTTACTGTTTCTTGCTCTTGTACAATGATTCTCAAGGTGATGTTGGGGAACCCCTAGACCATTTCAGAGAGTCTGCAAGGTCAAAACTATTTCTGTAATAATAGTAAGATGCCTTAATTCATCATGTACTAAATGTCACGTAAATAATTTTTTAAAATGAAAAGAAATGGGGCAGCTAGATGGC